AAGATGGAGATGGAGGAGCCAGCCCCAGCCGGGAGGAAGGAGGAACGAGAGAGCCGGAAGGTCTCCACCGCGGAGCTGCTGGAAGTGGATTTGGGGAGCAAGCCGCCCACACCCCCCTTGCACCGGTTTCCGTCCTGGGTAAGAGGCCCAGGGGGCTGGGCCGGGCTGACAAGGCGACCGGCGTCCTCAGCACAGCCACACACTGAGCAGGCGAGGGGTCCTCAGGGTGCCTCCGGGAGCAGGTCCCCGGGGCCTGCCCAGACCTCCCAGCCAGCCAGGGGCAGAGCGGGGATTTGGGGGGATTGGGCAAGGCCAGCTCTCGTGTCCTAAGCCAGCGCCCGCCGTGTGCCCCTCACCACGTTGGTGTGGTGTGGGGCAGCGTGCACGTCTTCTCGTTCGGCCTCTGATGCTTAGAGACGGTGCAGCGTGGGCTTCCAACATCGAATCATTAGGGTTGAATCACAACCTCTGTGACCGGGGCAAGAGGCTGAACCTCCGTGCCTCAGTTTCCCTGTATGTAAAATGGGGATAATAGTGCCCGCTTTATGGGGTTAGTAGTAACAAGTACTTGCAGTAGTGGGTCATCGGAAGTGGCACAGCAGTGTTGGTTGTTGTTATTTCTGAGCCTTGGCTTCCTCCCGCGCACCACAGGGTAAGACGCTGTGCTGTGGGGACACCGATGGGACGAGGCCGCCACACACTAATCTTTGTAGAGCTGGGCCATGGGGCCGTGAAGTCGTACTCGATTCTGTTCTCTCTACTTCCGTGTCTCACGTTTTCCATTAAATGGGAAGGGGGCGGGGATGGGCATTGCAAAGGCTGCACAGGCCCGCGGTGAGGGCCAGATGAGATCATGGATGTCGAAAGCTGAGCACGGAGCCCGCCCCAGACCCGGACTCCTTGCCTGTGTGTGCAGGGAGTTGGATGCTGTTTTTCTTTACAGATTGGGGAACTGCTCTCCCTGCTTAGTTACGTGCCCGAGATCATGTAGTCGTTAGTGAGGGACCAGGCTGTGAGTAAGACATCCTCACGTGAGGCAGTGAGGGTGTTCCAGGAAGGGCCTGGAGTGGGCAGATAAATTGGCACCAAGTTGCAAAATTCGGCACAAAAAGATGATTATTCCCAGTGGTGGTGGACGGCCCCCAGAGCCTGGCTCTGACTCTCCAGCTTCCTGCCTCTTGGCGGTCATCGGAGAGTAGCTGTCAGCCCCTCCCTCAGGGTCTGATCCCTGCATGCACTGGGGCGTCTGTCAGACTCCTGGCAGCACAGGGAATTGTGTGCTGGGGGGTGGCACTACACACACACACACACACACACACACACACACACACACACATCACTGCCTGGGAGGCCCACCTGTCAGGGTCTCCTTTTAAAATGCTGCTAGTTGGGGCCTCACACCCCAGGCTTATGGGCTGCGTGCTTAGCAGTGATTTTCCCAGGGGGACCTGGATGGCTCAGGACACACCTGCTGGGGAGGGCTAGGAGGCCCACAGGCCAAGGAGTGCCGAGCTATCCCTGGAGCAGCGCCACAGGAAGGGCAAGGAGGGGAGCAGCAGGTGGACCAGGAGCGAAGGGGCAGCTGGGACAAGGTGGAGGAAGGGCCAGGCCAGGCTGGAACGCCATGGGAACCATCCCTCCCTCCTCAGGGTCACTGAGGTCTTATCATTACAAGTGCTCTTGGAGCCCTAGAGCCGAGGTGGGCAGCGAGGGGGCACTCAGCAAGGGACCAGTGGTGGGCTTAGCTCCACCCAGGCCCTGAGACAGGCTCTCCCATCGGCTTAGGCAGCCACAGTGGCCAGGGCACCCGGCCTTCTCAGGTGAGACCAACTGGGAGTGACCATGGGGCGGTGGGGAGGGTGGGGGTGCATCAGGACTGAGAGTTACAAGGCCATCCCACCTGAGGGAGTTGGATAATCTATTCGCCAATTTAGGTTTTGCAGAGCCCATTTTCTGTGGACCTCCCCAGTCACCTTTGTGGGACATCAGATGACCTTCTGTGAAACACTCCTATTAGTTCAGTGATAGTTGCCTAGATCCCTAGATCATGGTGAACCTGCATTCCTCAAGCTTCCCTTTTTCCTGGTCCGCCACTACTGACAGCAATTACCTTCTCCAGGCCTGATTTTACTACTTGGTCCCAATGTATCTGCCTCACCCCAGTGCCCCTCCTGGGGCACCCTCATGGCCTCCCACGTCTTGCCTAGCATTCCCAGGCCCTAATCTGGGGATCTCATCCCAGCCCCGCCCTCCCCTACTGCCCTGCCCCCTGCGCTGACCTTCTCAGGTCCTGGTGACTCACCAGTCACCTGAGGGGGCCTTTGTTGTCCGTTTATCTGGACTGGAGAACAGAGATATGCTGAAGCGAAGGTGGGGCCATCAGGGGAGAGGCTGGAGTTGAGGGTGGGTGTTCCCCATTCCCGGCTCCTTCGGCTTGTATGTGGGGTTCTCCGTTTGAGTGGGGTACACTGGCTTTGTGGGTCGGACCGAAACCCACCATGATATGATGTTATTACTGTAGAGAAAACATGTATCCCAGCTTCCAAACTGGCTTACCAAGAGTCCTGCCCTCAGCTCAGGGCTCTGACTTCCTCGTGGCCGACACCCCACTTCTAGGGGTGAGAGCCTGAGACCCCAGAGCTGGGACGTGGGTCAGGCTCCCAGATACGGCCACGGACCCCTCCCCTCGGAGTCTCCCCCCCCGAAGGGAGGGGTTGGAGAGGTGAAGAGCTGTTGGGCACAGGTTAAAAGTCCAGGTGTGAGATGCTCGCATTAATAATTTAATTGGATTCTCACAGCACCTGAGTCTGTTACCCCCATTTCAGAGCTGAGGCCCAGAAATGACGTAACTCGCCCAATTCTCCCGCCTGTAAGCGGCCAGCCTAGATGCAGATCTGGCTGCCTGCAAAGCCAGCTTTCCCCACACCCAGGAGCGGCTGGGGCGGGCTCTGACCCTCCAGGGACCTCTCATTCCAGGAGAGCCGCATCTACGCCGTGGCCACGTCAGGCATGTGTCTCTCGGACGTGCCTCCCCGGAGTAGTGCCACCTGCTTCGGTGAGTCCCAAGCGGGTGCTCATGGTGGTCAGGGTGGACGTGTGGGGGAGGAGAGGCTTCTGGGCAACACCCAGGGCTCTGGTCACCTGGCACCCCGTTTCCACTCCCCCACACCGACCCCCCTACAGGTGGGTTTCAGGGGAATCACAGCCAGGGCTGCCTTAGAGAGAAGAAACTGCAGGTTCAGCCCATTACCTGCTGGGTGGGCGTGGTCTTGAACCGTGTTGTAGCCAATCAGAGCAGGAAGGAACTTTAGAGGCGGGTCCCCCAGCTCAGCCTCCTGCCTGCACTGCAGGAAAGGCTGTGGGTGGAAGAGGCCCCAGTACATTCATTTATTGAGGCCCCTGAGGGGGGCCCATCCCCACCACAGTCTCCCAAGTCCCGGGCCAGCCACAGAATCCCACGGGCTGTGAGCGAGCGCCACGTGGTGCAAGACAGGTAACTGCCGGGGCCCTTATCCCAAGATCTGCCCCCGGAGTGCTGTTTCATCTCCTCCTCCCTCTGATGTCCCCACACCCCGTCCTGGGCCACGGCCTGGAGCTCATCTCATCCCCCTTCCCTGCCCCTCCAGGTTCAAGGCCTCCCTCTCTTTCGTCCCCTGGGCCCTTCTCCAGCCTTGTCTACAAGAACTGCTCGGTGCCTGTCTACACAGTCCTGAAGGGGGTAAGCACTGCTCTCCGAGGATCGCTGCCTCCTACCCCCCGTCCGTTCCCTGCCCCCAGGCTCCTTGTCCAGTCAGTGGCTGGAGTGGGGTCCAGCATCAGGTTTCTGTGTATACACACACACACACGCACACACGCACACACACACACAACTCTGGGCAAGAAGTGCAGCCCACACCGTAAGCCATTTTAGTTTTATTATCTCTATCAGACTTCCAGTAGAAAAGTTCTACATTTACCAAAATTTGAATAAATAACGTTTGTGGGCAAAGGAAAAAGGAAAAGTTAAGCCTATGGCTACTCTGCCTGATCCCCCCCATCTTGTCACATGCATGTCCTGGAGGGTGGGGCTCCTTTTAGGACTTTTTACATGTTCAAACATACGCTCCCACATAAACTGCACATCCCCACACTTTTTTAAAACAAAAATCATACAAAAGGGCAGCATTTTTGCCTCCTTTTATGATTAGTTTTTGAAGTCATAACAGGTATACTTTGTAAAACTTTCTCTGGAAGAATAAAAATCCGAAAGTGGATTGCTTCCCCCTCACTCCCCGCCCAGGGGCCGCTGTCCTTCGTGGTCGGGTGTTGGTTCTGCGTGGCCTTCCGCCGGGCTTACCGATGCGTCCACAAAGAGTCGCTCTCACTCGCACATACAGGTGCACGCACACCGAGGGGTCCCCCTACGTGTCATTCTCCCCCTTGCTTGTTCTCCCAGCGTGTGGCGGGCCTTCCTGCCGCACCCCTCACACAGTCCCAGTGTGAGGCTGCCCAGTCCCTCACACAGGTGCCCACAGCTACCTTACCCGACCTCCACGGATGGACAGCTTAGGACACATCTCCGTGTTTCTCTACAATCAGTGGTGTGATGAGCATCATTGTGCACCTGTATCTCTGTGCACTTCCGTATACATATCTCCGCGGACAGAGGCCTAGAGGAGGGCTTTAAAGTTGGCCTGCAGTGCCGAGCTGTCTTCTAAAAAAGCCTCATCACACCGCAGAGAGCCCTCTCGCCACAGTTCCCCAGCACGGAGAGCAGCAATCTGAGTAAACGCCTGTCAGGGGAGGTGGTCTCGTGTCCTAGTCCCTGCACATGTGTGACGCCCCTGCCCTCACACGTGGGCTTGGTGTGGCTTTCTGGCCCCCTAGCGGCAGGGAGTAGGGGGTCACAGTGGTTAGGGGTTCAGCTGGGCTGGGGCAGCTCTTGGGGACCTCAAAGGATGGTGTACCCCCACCCCCATCCCCCATCAGCCCAAGGGAGAAAGTGAGGAAGGGACAGTAGTCCGGTGGGTGGCCTGGCTGATGTGGTGGCATCCTTGTGCCCAGACAGGCGGTGCTGGCCCACCCTGAGCACCTGGAGCCGGAGGGCAGGTTGGGGCGGGGTGTCTTGCAGCCTGAGCTGCATGGGCAGGGCCTGTCTTGCAGAGAGTCACACAGATCAGCACCGTGCCCTTTGTGGACGAGTCCTCTGGCTCCGATGACGACTGCAGCTCTCAGGCGAGTTTCCAGAGCTCGGTCCCCTGCTCTGAGCCCAGGAAGACCAGCGGGCTAGGCAGCCCCCGGGCTATCAAGAGAGGTACAGAGCAGGGGAGCTGAGGGATGTGGGTAGCAAGGGGCCCCTCACCTCCTCCCCTATGCAGCTGTGCCTGGGGTCCCTGCAAGAACTCCGCCCGAGTCCCTCAGCCCCAGACTCGGGGGTCCTGGGTGGGTGAGGAGCTGGGGTTGGGTGGCCTGGGACACAGGCCTCGAACCCTCCCCCTTGGCCAGGTGTCTCCATGTCCTCTCTGAGCTCGGAGGGCGACTACGCCATCCCTCCAGATGCCTGCTCCTTGGACAGCGACTACTCAGAGCCTGAGCACAAACTACAGCGCACCTCCTCCTACTCCACCGAGGGGCCGACCCTGGGCAGGGTGAGCTGAGGGTGGCCCCGCCGGGTGGGGCTGAGGCGGGCAGGGAGGGAGCTGCCTGCCCAAGACCCTCGGAACAATGGCCCACCGAGCCCCAGGGGCTACACACAGCACCTCGTTCTAGCTCCATGCTGACGCCGGGATGCTGGGAGCTGCATCCTGAGTCCTCACAGTGTGCCAGGCACCGTGCTCCGTGCTTCTCGTGAACTGTCTCAGCTATCCTCTCAGGATTATTCGCCCATTCTGTGGATGAGAAGCCTGAGGCTCAGAGACATGCTTCTCCGGAGCCAGGCGTAAAGCCCGATCCCATCTCCAGCCCTTGCTCCACACCACAGAGCTGCCCTGTCTGAATCTCCCCCGCCCCGAACCCTCCGCCCCAGCCCGATGGATGTGCCCACTGTTCCCCAAACCTCTCCCTTCCCTGCGGCCTCAGTGGCCGTCCTCCTCCTCCTGGCTCATCTTCGAGGGAAAGCCTGACCCCAAAGGCCCCTCTCCGCAGCCAGCCTCTCCCTTGTGAGCCGCCTGCTCATGGTCAGGTGTGCTCCCCAGCCAGCAGGACTCTCCCACAGCAGGGCCACCCATGTTTGATGTAGTCCTCCCTGAACCCTTAGCCCTGAAAATACACACAGTAGGTTCTCAGTTTGTTTGTTTTTTCTAAGTGGTGACAAAGCAGTGACTCAGCTGGGCTCCGTGGGCCTGTGTGGTGTCCATACCTCAGTGAGTCCCCCTCTTCGCCCTTCCCCTCTGCACCCCTCCCCCTACAGGAGTCGCTGGAGAAGTCGGGCTACCTGCTGAAAATGGGCAGCCGGGTGAAGACGTGGAAGAGGCGCTGGTTCGTCCTGAGGCAGGGACAGATCCTGTACTACAAGTCCCCGGTGAGACCCTCCCCCAGGACTGTCCTCTAAGGACCCCCATCCCCCAGGTCTGTGTGAGGAGAGCCGGAGGAGGGGCCAGGGTGGCCCATGCCAGCGGGCGGAGGTCTGGCAGGTGGGAGAGGCTTGAGCCACACCCAGACCCTGAGGCAGGTCATTGGTTCTCACACTGAGAAGACGAAGGCAGTCCTAGATGAGGTGGCTTGGACACGCCTTCCTCCAGAAGCCCAGTTCTTTTGCCTGGTTCTGTAAAAGGATCGTTCTAAAAGGCGAGCCCAGCCTGGCCAGTGTGGCTCCGTGGTTGAGCGTTGACCCATGAATCAGGAGGTCACGATTCCATTCCTGGTGAGGGTACATGCCCAGTTGTGGGCTTGATCTCCGTGTGGGTGTGTAGGAGGCAGCGATCAATGATTCTCTCTCATCATTGATGTTTCTATCTCTCCCTCTCCCTTCCTCTCTAAAATCAGTAAAAACATTTTGAAAAAGGAGAACCCATTGCCTTCTCACCATCCTTCCTAACACTGTTCGGAATTAGGGAGCCTTGGACATGGGGACTTATTTTGACAGGCCCTCCCTGATCAATAACCAATGTTTATGTCTTAAGGAGGGCAAAAAGGCCTTGTGTCTTGTACAAATCTTGTTGATTGGTCATGGCTGTCTCAAACACCTTGTTAAGGATTCTGGGCCTGGATTGCTCAATAGGCAGGCATGCTGTGATCGATTAGTAATGTCTGCAGTGGCACTGGAAATGGGAATGGTGATATATAAGCTTCCTATTTGCCACACTTGATGTAAAAGATGTAGTAGGAAAAAAATGTAAAGGCTTACAGCTTAGTAATAACTTAGTGTCTTTAGACCCAATTTTAAAGGCTCGGTCTAAAAAGAACAGAATCTTACCATTTGGACAGCATGGATAGACCTAGGGGGTATTTAGCTAAGTCTGTCAGAAAAGGACAGATACCACGTGTTTTCACTTAAATGTGGAATCTAAAGTACAATATAAATGAACAAACCAAACAGAAACAGACTTAAAGATTCAGAGCACAGGCAGATGGTTCCGGGGTGGAGGGAGGGAGGGGCTGGGCAGGAAAGGTGAAGGGATTGAGAAGTGCAGATCAGCCGTTGGGAACCAGTCGGAGGGCCGTGAAGTGCAGCCCGGGAGAACAGGGGTGCTGCAGTAGCGGGGTGTGGGCTCAGGTGGGTACAGGAAATGCCAGCAGAACACCTTGTGAGGCCTGTGATTGTCTAGCCCCGGCACTGTACACCTGACACTAATACAAAATAATAGTGATTGTATACTGTAATTTAAAGTATTTTTTTAAAAAAGGAAAGAAATACAGGCTCAATCTACGCTTTTTGAGCTGGGTCAGAGGAACCCAGGTCTCACCATTGCTCCGTTTGGCTAGACCCAGGACACAGAACACGTTACCCAGCATGCATAGCTCGGGAAAGCGTGGAATCACTTCCTCCTTTGCCCTGACCTAGAGTGAGAATGTTCCTTTCTTTACAGAGTGACATCATCCGGAAACCCCAAGGGCAGGTGGAACTGAACTCTCGTTGCCAGATTGTTCGAGAGGAGGGTGCACAGACCTTCCAGGTGGGCAGGGTCCTCACGGCTAGCACCTTAGGCAGGGGATGCTGGTGTGGACGCGGCTGTGGTGGTTACAGAGGGGGCGCCACACAGGCACGAGTGAGAGACACCTGGGTGTGACCCTGATTTGTGAGTCTGAGGAAGGGAGAGGACACAGAATGGGAGCGAGAGTGAAGGCGGGAGAGACAGGGAGAGCAGAAGAGGAGGAAAAGAAGGGGCGGCGAGTACCAGGGTGGGGAGCAGGACGGCCCAGTGGGCGCTGGGGTTTGTGTTACTCTACCCTCCTGTCTCTCGGCCCCGCCCCACCCCCTCCTGCACAGCTCATCTCTGAGAAGAAAACCTATTACCTGACGGCGGACTCGCCCTGCCTGCTGGAGGAGTGGATCCGGGTGCTGCAGAGGTTGCTGAAGGTCCAGGCCCTTGGGCCGCCGGCCCTGCCTCAGGGGGGCACCAAGCCCACCGTGAAGGGCTGGCTGACCAAGGTATGGCTGCGGCTGGTGGGGAGGAAGGTGGGCCTTCTGAGAGGCGGGTGCAGACGTGGAGGTGCCAAGGGCCACGGGGTCCCCTCTGATCCACGGCTCCTGTAGGGGTTTCCTCGCAGGGATTAGCTGGTTGGCTTCAAATACCATCTGACCCCACAGGGGAGAGATGGTTCCCTGGGAGCAGGGAGGGGTTGTTAGAACAACAGCTATTCTCAAGACCAAGGAATGTGCCCATTTGAGGTCATTAGGAGTCCCCCACCCAACCTGAACCCGCCCGTATGGACAGTGGGAAGCTGGGGCCTAAGCGAGGTGGGTATGGCCTCTTAAAACGTGTAGCATCCCAGGCTGGCCCTGAGGACGGTTGAGTTGGGGTTCTTCTGGTTGCAAAGAGCAGAGAAGTACATGTTAACCCCAAGTTAGGGGGACGTTAACAAGGAAGTGGGACCTGGGCCCACAGCCGCCAGGAGGCAGAGCGGCCAGTCGGAGCGCGCTCAGTAGAAGCTGTGGCTCTCTCTCTGCCTCTGCATCCCATTCAGTCCCCTCTGTGTGCATCTGCTGTTCCCACACCATTTAGATTGGCCTCCCTGCCCTGCCCTTCTCTCAGCTTTCTGACTATTCCAGCCTCTGCTAAGGCAGGTCCTTCCTCGGTCACATTCCTGGAACAGGACACCGATGGGCCTGGTCTCGCTGGGATGGGTGGGGGGTGCCCTGGGGCACACCGCGGCCCCTCGCTGTGAAAGGGCCGCTTCCCTCGGGGAGTCTGGGCGCCTCCACTGAGGACCTGAGCTGGACCAGGGGCTTTTACGTCTGCCTCCCTGTGGCTGCCCTTGGCCAGGCCCCCTGGTTCTGGTGATGCCGGCTCGTTTCTGCCTCGCAGGTAAAGCATGGCCACTCCAAGCTGGTCTGGTGTGCTCTCGTCGGGAGAACCTTCTTCTACTATCGGAGCCACGAGGACAAGGTACTCCTGGCCTTGAACTGCACCGTCCCCTCTCCCCCCACACCCTACTCCTGGGGCTCCACTTTCCCTTCTACCCCGTAACCCCACAGCCAGGGCAGCGCCAGCTGGCGGGCTCCCTCCACAGGAGGGGCTGGGCCACAGCGCCCCAAGCAGGCAGCCAGCGAGCTCTCCTCTCCCTTCCTCCTGTGTCTGTCCTCACCCACGATTCCCAGCCCTGCAGGCCCGAGGGCTCCGAGAGAGGAGCCCCCTGTCCCCCGGCGCCCCCATTCACCGAAGCCTCATGTCCACAGCGACCCCTGGGCCACCTGCCCGTGCAGGACGCACGCATAGAGGAAGTGGACCGGTCCTGTGACTCCGACGAGGACTACGAGGCCGGAGGCACCGGGCGGCTGCTCTCCTCCCACTGCACCCTGGGGATCCACCCCCCGGAGCACAGCCCCACCTACCTCCTCATTGGCACCAAGCATGAGAAGGCAAGGGATGGACCTGTGTGCTTCTCGTCTCCCCTTCTCTCCCCCCCCCCCCCCCCCCCGTTTCTCCCACATTCATGTTTATTTCCCCTCCCGAACATCTTGGCAACTAACAACCCAGGTTGGGAATATTCCTTACGTTGACTTGTTCCCAGTGACCATCTCTTCCCTGAGATGGAACCACAGCTTAGAAACCTGGGTTCGATCCCAGGTCTTTCCAACACTGGTGGCCCCGACTTCCGCTCACCAAGCCAGCTGAGCCCCACCTGGACTTGGCCCCTTTAAGGAAGCCCCTGGGAGCTCTGCCCCATCTCCCCGCCCAGCCCCTGCAGACGGCTCTCCCTCCTCTTCCAGGACACGTGGCTCTATCACCTCACCGTGGCCGCAGGGGGCAGCAGCGCCAAGGTGGGGACCGCCTACGAGCAGCTCATTGGCAAACTGATGGATGATGAGGGAGACCCAGGTGAGGCAAGCACGGCCACCTCGGCTTGGGTTGTAGGGCGGTGGCTGGGTAATTGTTGGTCAGGAACCCAAGAACACAATGCTGGGCCCTGACGCTGTTTTAAAACCGCCGGAGCCATCCCAAGCTCCGGGCCCCGACGAAGGGACTGAGGCGACCCCTCGGACTGAGGCGACCCCTCGGACTGCCCAGTGGCCTGGGCCAATGTTTTGCTTTGTCGCCTGCAGCTTTGCGGGCAGGGAGAGGCCGGATGGAGGGGGTAGCCGGTGAATCTATAGTGAGGGTTGTAATAAGCAAAGCCGTAAGCCTGGGCACCTGGGATCTTTATTTTGCTCCTGATTCTGAGGAGCCGGAGGCACTCACAGCATACACCACACCCCCTCCACTGCAGCCACAGCTGGTTTATCCCTCCATCCAGGCTGACCCTGCAGGCCGGCCTCCCCACACACATGCTCGCACCCAGATGCTCACATCTCGCACACTCGCCCTGTGGCAGCCCCAGGAGCAGAGCCGCGGCCGCCTTCCTGTGAGCTGTGCTTGTGAGCCCCACGCTCTCGATTTAAACCCAGCGCCTCCGTGGGCCCCAGACATTAAACCCTAAGGGGTGGTTGGGAAGAGAGTTCCCACCAGGGCTAACCGCGCTGCTCTCCGCTGGCAGACTCCCCCCTCTGGAGGCACCCCATGCTGTGCTACAGCAAAGATGGGCTGCACACGTCCCTCACCACCCTGCCCTCCGAGGCCCTGCAGACCGAGGCCCTCAAGCTCTTCAAGGTAAAGTGGGAGGGGAGCCCCGGCCCACCCACAGGTGGGCGCCTGAACCATGTGCCCAGGCTCTGCCCCCCACCGTTCTGCCCCCCATGGTGATCCTCTGGTGAGAAGAGCATGCAGTTAGGGGGTGGCCCACAGAAGGATCTCCGAGGAGGCGGGGGGAGTCCCACAGGGTCCCCACCACGTCCTGTAGGCCAGGGAGGCGGGAGCTCTGGGCCTTCACTCCCAGCCTGGGGGAGCGCCTGTGAAACGGGCCCCTGAGCTCCCGCCTCCTGTGACGGACAGGAAAAGGCAGGCCTACGTTGTTTCTGAACCTGAGGGATTCGGGCCTCTTTTAGAATATTCTTTGTGCCTGTCTTGAATATTCTATCTTTTCAGAAAATGAGTCTGTCTTGCTTATGTAATAGAAACATTTAAAGAAGGAAAGATTCTAGCCCGAGGTAGCCTTCCCGGCAAGCACAGTGCTCCCAGGCAGTGCTCCCTCTTAGAAACATTCTCCCTGTGAGCAAGCCCTCGAGCCCCAGGGCGGCCCCATCTGTCCATGGCCTCAGCCCCTGCCGGTGCCCACTGTCTTGTCCCTGCCAGTGCTGCCAGCTCTTCATCAACGTGCCCGTGGAGGCCGCCTCGGTGGACTACCATGTGTCCCTGGTGCAGAGGGCCCTGCAGGTGTGCCTGGTGCACCCTGAGCTGCAGAGCGAGATCTACTGCCAGCTCATGAAGCAGACCAGCTGTCGCCCACCGCAGAAGTACTCCCTCATGCAGGTAGGGGCTCCCGGGGAGGAGCGGGCAGGAGCCACTGGCCAGGGCTGCCCAGGAGGCAGGAAGCGGGAGGAGGTGACTGCGCGGGTATCCTGAGCCCGGTGGCCAGGGGGCCGTGCTCAGAGCTGCGTCGGCACAGCTGCCCTCCCTGAGCCCCTTCAGGTGAGGTCTGTGTGCAGTCGGCTTGTACGACTGCCTTTCTGGTCAAAGCCTGACCCCGTTGGCTCTGGCCCCCGGAGAAGGCGGGGGCTCCGGTGTGGAGAGAGCGCCGAAGGGCCCTGAGGCGGGGCGTGCGGGCCCAGCACTCACCCCACGCCGCCTGTGCCCTGCAGTGCTGGCAGCTCCTGGCTCTGTGCGCCCCCCTCTTCCTGCCTCAGCACCCCTTCCTCTGGTACATCAAACAGCAGCTCCAGCGCCACGCAGACCCCAGGTGAGTGAGTGCCATTCCCCCCGCTGCTCCTTCACTCCCGTGGCGGCACGATTGCATGTCCGGGGGAATGGTGTCCGAATCCCCTCCCCCCCTGAGACTTGCTCAGTGGCCATGGGGACTTCATCGATGGCTGTAAACACACACACCCACGCGGAGGCCTGGGCAGGCCAGGTCACGTGCGCATGGATGTTTAGTGGGGGCTGTTGCCTCCGGGTTATTCCCAAAGTGCCGTTCTCCGTTGCCACGTCCACATGGGCCCTGAATGGCAAGTTAATACCCCAGGCCCGGCTTCAGGACTTGGCTCACAGCCTGCCCCGGTGGCTGACGTGGTCCTGGCCGGGTCTGGGCCGGGAACCGAGGTGGCAGGGAGGTGTGGATTCCGTGGTACTCCCTTCTTCCTCCCCTGTCTTTTTAGAAGTGAGACTGGCCAGTATGCCACCTACTGCCAGCGGGCCGTGGAGCGGACCCTGCAGACGGGGGAGCGGGAGGCCAGGCCGTCGCGCATGGAGGTGGTGTCCATCCTGCTGCGGAACCCCTTCCACCACTCCCTGCCCTTCAGCATCCCCGTGCACTTCGCCAACGGGACCTACCAGGTGAGGGCGGGCGTGTGCCCGGGCCTGAGCCTCTTCCAGAGGGGAGTACCTCAGGGCCAGGCGGGTGCTAAGCCTCCTCAGGATTGGCAGGTTCTTGATAAGCAAAGCAGCCAAAGAATGGGCCCGCCGAGGCTTCGGGGTGGGTGTGGGGTGGGGGTTCGTGCCAGCACGGCAGGAGGAGCTTGAATCACAAAAGCGCTCCGCTGTTGGATGTTCTGGAAGTACATCTCTGAACCCATTGTGTGAACAGGAAACTGAGACACTGACCAAGATGGCATGAGAGGGCCTCCCCAAAAGTGACAGGAAAGGGCACCCAGGGCTTATGTCGGGTTCGTCTCCAGGGGGCGGGTTCTTCCCTGGGGCACGCACCCTCTGCGTGCTAATCCAGAACGGACGTATCCTTGGCCCTTGCATCTGCCCTTGCTCCTTTTAGGCAGGCCTTCCCACCTCGGGACGCAGGCCCCTCCGAGCGCTCTGGGGGGCGTCCCTCAGCGAGCCCCCGGGGCTGCCACTCTCCCTGCAGGTGGTGGGCTTCGACGGCTCCTCCACGGTTGATGAGTTCCTCCAGCGGCTGAACCAGGAGACGGGCATGAGGAAACCGTCCCACTCCGGCTTTGCCCTCTTCACGGACGACCCGGCCGGCCGGGCCCTGGAGCACTGCCTGCAGGGGAGCGTCAAGGTGACGGCCTCCCCGCTGAGCCCTGAGCTCCCCTGACCCGCCGCCTGGCTTCGGGGTTTCGGTGGGGAAAAGCCTGTCCTGCTAGGCGTCTGGCTGTGTCCCCCCCTTCTATGCCAGCCTTAAACGTGAGCAGGTGGGCAGAGAGAAGATGTTTGTGCTGTTGTGTGTGGAGAGAAGAGCTCTGTATCCCTCTCTCCCTGGGGTGGCTGTGCAGGAGACACTTCCCAGCAGCAGCCCATCCGAGCCTGCTGGTTACACATGCACACGGGCGCAAACGCGTGCACATGCACACAGGGACACGGGTGGGCACCTGCATGCCCAGCGTCCCTAGATGTTGTGTCGGCCAGGACCTATGCTGCGCCTACAGGTTCAGCCACATTTTTAGGAAGTAGGCCCTTATGGTACTTGGGTATTAAAGGCTCTTGAATGGGACTGAGGACTATCTTGTATTGTGGTCTGAGATTAGAGCCGTGGCGCGCGTTAAGTGTTTGAGGGAATGTGCTGTAGCACTTGATGAGCGGGAGGTTTGGGTCTGTCTTCTCTTTTTTTTTTTTTTTTTAAATATATTTTATTGATTTTTGTACAGAGAGGAAGGGAGATAGTTAGAAACATCAATGAGAAAGAGTCATCGATCAGCAGCCTCTTGCACACCCCCTACTGGGGATGTGCCCGCAACCCAGGTTACATGCCCTTGACCAGAATCGAACCCAGGGCCCTTCAGTCCCCAAGCCGACGCTCTATCCACTGAGCCAAACCGGTCCCGGCTGTCTGCTCTCTTTATGGCAGCAGGACAAAGGCCTGTCGTCCTGGGCCAGCCGGAAACACTGTGCTACTCGCCTTCTCTGTAAATGTCGGGGCATCTGCAAGGCTTGGCCATGCAGCAGGCCGCTGGGCACATTGCTGAAGAGGAGAGTGGGGAGGGATGGAAAGGGAGCTGGTGATGTGAGGCCATGGTTTTTGACTGGGGCCTGCCTTGCCCGAGGGTGGGTGGGGCTCAGATGGTAAGGCCAATAGGGGAAGCTTTGCTTTGCTGCTCACGCCAAGTCTGTGAGGAAGCCTGGGCACCTGGGGTCCTGGCCCTGAAGGTCATCCTCCCATGGAGGACAGTCACTCCACTCTGCCCTGCTGCTCTGCCCGAGTCCAGCTCTGCCTGGACCTCATGCCTCGCAGCGTGCTTTGCTGACTTCTGTCTTTTGTCTCTTCAAGATCTGCGATGCCATTTCCAAGTGGGAACAAGCCCTGAAGGAGCTGCACTCCAGGAAGTCCGAGGGTGGCACGCGTGTCGTGAGGCTGATGTACAAGAGCAGGTCCTGAGCTCGCCCCAGGGTGGGGCCAGGGTGAGGGCTGTGTCCGGGGTGCACAGGCAGGAGGCCCACAGATACAGCACCGCATGGCACTCATTAGCTGGAGAGCCAGGCCGACTGGGCAGCTCAGCTCTCAGTCCCCATACTGCATGTACACACACATGCATGCACACACACACACAAACATGCCAAGAAAACAGACCAACCTCATGAGATGGCTTCATGTGTTACCTTAGGAGAGTGAGATTTTGTATGAGCACTAAATTTAAGGCTAGCAATACACTGCTCCTATACCAATTCCAGGAAACATAGCCGTAGGCATCCTGACTTTTTACCAATTTGAGTAAGAAAATTCCATCCAGGCTGTCTCCAAGGCAAATAGTTTCCATTAGTCTCTTGGCTTCTTAACTCATCCAGTTCCCTAATAAGTTGTGATTCCTGGTACCAGATCCCTTCACCAAATCCCGTAAGTCTAATGGTGTATCCAGAATTAACCACATGCTACAGTTGCCATGAGAACTATGGGCTCTGTGTCATGCTTGCTTAAATATTTTGGAGGCAATAGAAAATGGGCTTACAGATGGCATAAAAAGAGTCATTTCTTTCTTTGGGAGTCAAGATAAAACAGATGCCAAGATGACCTCGTCCTTTTGGGATCCCAGCTGACCTGGCTTCTCGCCCTCTTCCCTGTAGGCTGTACTTTCGGGGTCAAGTCAAAGGGGAGACGGAGCGTGAGCGTCTGCTGCTTGCCTTCCAGACCAGTGGCGAGATCGTGGCGGGGAGGTTTCCTGTCAACAAGGAGCTGGCTCTGGAGATGGCTGCCCTCATGGCCCAGGTACGGTCTGTTTGGGAATCAGGAGAGTCAGGCACCACCTTTGGACTCGCAGGCGGAATGCGCCACACAGCCTGGAGCAGGAGATTCTGCAGATGGGCGGAGCCAGAGGAGAGGGTGGCCTTGACCCTGGCTCCTTACCCAGCAGAGCTCCTCATGGCTGAGTGCAGAACTCTGGGCGGGAGTCCAGACGCCTGGGTTTGAGTCCTGGCCACTTCAAGCTCTGAGGTCTTGGCCACGTTACTTTACTTGTCTGTGCTTTAGTTTCCATTTCTGTGGACTGAAAACAAAGATACCTCCACACCTACCCCCACAGGGTTGTTGTTCTAAGTATGTTTTTAATGCATATCACATAATATATACAATAATGTTTGTACTTAAAGCTGTCAAGCATTTTAACTAGAATTAGGAAAGGAATACACATTCAGAATTTGACTCTTCTCCTTGTTACCTTTACGAGGCCATCTTGCCAAAGGTTATCTAGGATACTGTATGGTTCCCATAGACATACTTGCTGAAAAAGAAGAGGAAATAATAATAGTTGATCTTTAGCCCTACCCTGTCTGGTTCAGTTGGTTAGGGATCATCCCATGTACTAAAAGGTTGTTGGTTCAGCCGAAACCAGTTTGGCTCAGTGGATAGAGTGTCGGCCTGAAGATTGAAGGGTCCCAGGTTCGATTCTGGTCAAGGGCATGTACATTGGTTGCGGGCACATCCCCAATAGGGGGTGTGCAGGAGGCGGCTGGTCGATGTTTCTCTCTCATCGATGTTTCTAGCTCTTTGTCCCTCTCCCTTCCTCTCTATAAAAAAAAAAATCAATAAAATATATTAATAAATAAATAAATAAATGGTTGTTGATTCAATTTCCTGACAGGCCACATACTTGGGTTGCAGGCTCCATCCCTGGAAGGTGCATGCAGGAGGCAGTCAATCGATGTTTCCCTTTCACATCAATGTCTCTCTTTCTCTTCCCTCTTCCCTCCCTCTCCTTCTCTCCCTCTCTCTAATAACTGATCTTTAATATAATAAACATGTATTAAATACTCTATAGAGAACCCTGTGCTAAATATTTTATACTAGAGGCCCAGTGTACAAGATTCGTGCACTTGGGTGGGGGATGCCTTAGCCCAGCCTGCACCCTCTTGCAGTCTGAGAGCCCTCAGGGGATGTCCGACTGACAGCTTAGGCCCACTTATATTCAGGCCCAATGCACAAGATTTGTGCACTTGGCAGGGGAATGGGGGTAGTCCCTTAGCCCAGCCTGTGCCCTCTCACAGTCTGGGAGCCCTCGGGATGTCCAACTGACGGTTTAGGTGGAGAGTGGATCTAAGCTGGCAGTGGGACATCCTTAGTGCTGCCATAGAGGTCAGTGGAGGTGGGAGAGGCTCCCACCACCACTACTCCGCTCACCAGCCGTGAGCCTGGCTTCTGGCTGAGCAGCACTCTCCCTGTGGGAGTGCACTGACCACCAGGGGGCAGCTCCTGTATTGAGCGTCTGCCCCCTGGTGGTCAGTGTGTGTCATAGTGACCCGTCATTCTGCCATTTGGTCAATTTGCATATTAGCCTTTTATTATATAGGATGTATTATCCCATTTAGTTCTCATCCCCACATAATAGGTGAGGATATTGAAGCTCAGAGAGTTTCAGTAACTTGACCAGTGTTACAAAGCTGGTAAGTGGCAGAGTTGGGAGTTGAGCCAGGTGTCTGACTCCAAAGGTCACATTTGGGACTCTGCTAAAGTCAGTCAGTCCCCACTTAGCATCGTCAACTGGTTCTACAGCTTTAAGCAAAACACCTCATCAACATTACAGTGAAGGGACATTGAACAAAACTGTTCTTCGAGGACCCGCTGTACTCTAGGATCTGGAGCATCTTCAATCCCATGCTCCATATTTTTGGATTGGAAGCCAGGATTTCTACATTGTCTTCCCTGTCTGCCCCTAATTAACTGTGTCTTTGAATAAGGCATTTAACCTCAGCTGGAAAGTGAAAGCTGGACTAGATAATCTCTTAATATTCCAGGACCCTAAGGTTGTTTGTTTATCTCTAGTGTCTGTGAAATGAGATAAAGGGCCAGTTCACAAGAAGTGTTTTTTCACATCCATGCACACCTCCCCAGTCAAATTATGGGGGGAAAAAAAAGTGTACTACACCTTTCTCAACAGCCTACCCCCGCCCCACCCCCACCATATCCAGATTCTTGACTCGTGCTTACATGTGTTTCTATCACAGGTGGAGTTTGGGGACTTGGAGAAGCACCTCTCGCCAAGCCCTGGGGGCACACCCCCTTCCAAGGCTCAGCACCACCTGCAGCAGGTGCTGGACAGGTTCTACCCCAGGCGCTACCGATACGGGACACCCACGGAGCAGCTGAGGTAGGCTGCAGGGCTTACGGGGGGGTCTTGTGGGAGATGCGGGCCACGGGCTTGGGGAGGTCTCAGAGCTGCCGTAAAGACATGTTGGCACTTCACTGGCACCATGTCTCTCCCTCTGTCCATCCAGACATCTCGTAGATCAGCTGACCACAAAGTGGGCAGCACTGCAAGGCTGCTCCCCTCCTGAGTGCGTCCGCATCTACCTGACTGTGGCCCGGAAATGGGCCTTCTTTGGTGCTAAGCTCTTTGCTGCTCAGGTGAGTGCAAGTGGTGTCCAGGGGAAGGAGTGGTGACCTCCCCCTCAGGAATGTGCTGAGTATCTTCTGGAGCAGCGGTCAGCAAACTCATTAGTCCACAGAGCCAAATAGCAACAGCACAACGATTGAAATTTCTTTGGAGAGCCACATTTTTTTAACTTAAACTTCTTCTAACGCCATTTCTTCAAAATAGACTCACCCAGGCTGTGGTATTTTGTGGAAGAGCCACACTCAAGGGGCCAAAGAGCTGCGTGTGGCTCGCAAGCCAAAGTTTGCCAACCACGGTTCTGAAGCAACTGTTCTATCTGGTCATGTTTGAGTCTAATCTGCAGTGCCCATTTCTGACCTACTCCCATTTCCATGGTCCTGAGCACTTGTGATTCATTGCTTTGGGGGCCAGGATTCTTTCTGGGTGTCCCTCATCTTTCCTTTATTGACTTCTTTCTCAATGCTACCCGGGGAAGGGGGGGGGGCAGAGATAGGATCAACTAGTTATAAGGGCATGTAACAGAGGGTACCACTCAGTCTGGGAAGTTGAGGAAAGCTTCTGAAAAAGGTGCACATGCTTACCTCCCCCGCCTTTAAAGGACTACCCTACTGCACTGCTGGCAGCGAAAATACCAGGAATTGTCCACTAAATAGCCGCTTTTCTTACTGGTAGGGCCTATCGCCCCTAAGACTGCATTCTTGCTTTCCTGTTTCGTTTACAGTCCCTGTGAAATTGACTGGAGTAAGGTGCACTCCCGCTGGGAAAGGCTGTGGGTGGAGTGCGTCAGTGTCTGACAGCTGGGAGAAAGCAGTCTCTTCCCCGCGCCCATGACAGAGCCGCCAGGGCTGCTCAACTCTGCGCACTGAGCTTCCCAGTAGGTGGGCTGTGGCGGGCTAGGCTGCGATCTCCTCCCACTCGGGATGGTTAGTAGGTAGCCAGGGCCCGCAGGCCAGATGCCTCCTGTTCGCTCCAGCATGCTGTACGAGGCCATCTTTTAAGCTTTCCAAGATAAGGACAAGGTTGGAAATCACTGCGCTGCCTAGCAGATCCCAGTGTGCCTTCCTCCTCACAAAGCTCTCGTGGTTCAGCATCCATCGCTGTGGGTGTGTCTGACGGGGTTTTCCTGTTTCCCCAGCCTGTGCCGCTGTCTTCCAAGGAGAACCCTCTGGTGTGGATTGCTGTGAATGAGGACGGTGTCAGCATCCTGGACCACAACACCATGGTAAGGGAGGAGGAGGGCTGGCTTCCCCGATCCCCTCCTTCTCCTGAACAGTCTTTTCTTCTCTCTCGACTCAAAAGCCTGAGTGAAGTGACGATGCCCCCCTCGCCTTACCCCCTGCCCAAGCACCAAGCACTGCTGTTCTCCAGTCTAGACCCAGCGGGAAGACATTGGAGATGTGTCTCCCCAGATTATGACCACTGCGGAGTTCTTTCCTGGTTAAGCTCCCTGCGCTCAGAAGAGACAGCGTGCTGGTTCCTCGCTCGGGAGGCAGGTGGAAAGTTTCCCCAGGACTAACTCACTCTTTCCCACAGCAAGTGCGTGTCACCTACCCCTACTCTTCAGTGACGACCTTTGGTGGCTGCCGGGATGACTTCATGCTTGTGATTAGATCCATTCCAGACCAGAGCTCTGGAAAAGGCCACGTTGACAAGTTGACCTTCCGGATGGCCGCTCCTAAGGTGGGTCTGAGAGCTACTGAAACATCTGGCTCTGAGCTGTCATGTAGGAAGGGGCGGACTTGGAGCTGAGAAAGGAAGCTGGGGTTGTGACCGTATCCTAGAAGCGCCCTGCCCCAAAGGAAACTCGGCCTTGTCTGTAATCCTGGCTCCAAAGGGTTCAGGTGCAGTTCCTCGGAAGTCACTGCTGGGCAGGCAGGCAGGGCTCACTAGGGAGGGCACTCACGTTGGCCAGCTGCTCTTGTGCCCTTCACATCGTCTTTCCTGCTCTCAGACCTCTGCCCCATGCAGGCTGGAGTTGGGTGCTCACCCACTGTTCTCCTTGCAGCAGGTCCAAGGCAGCTACCCCCTCAAGGTGTTCTCACCCCATCCGTCCATCCGTTGTGGGCTCTGCTGTCCCGACACTAGTCGCAAAGTGGGACAGACTGCACATGCTCCCCTGTCTTCCGGGTCTTGAATTCTGCCCAGAGACCTCCTTTGCCTTAAGGGCTTTATTCCCACAGGAAATGTTGACTAGCAAAAGTAAGAATTACAAAGACTCATTTATAGGTTCCTGACTCCCTCTGAGAGTTCACTGGAAACCCTGTTGCTTTGATCCTAAGTTGGAGGTTGCCAGATCTCCTCCTCCTTTGAACACACCTCTGCCAAAGGAGAAGATAGGCAGCCCTTTGCTCCAGGGAGGCCTCTGCCCCAGCTGGGAGCTAGCCAGAGAGGAAGTGGGAGATACTGTGGGGTGGGAGGTAGAGAGAGATACTGTGCATCTCACAGAACCTCCAGGCCAATAGGCGCCCATTTCTTTGGGCCTCTGAACCACAGTAACACCGCCTTTGGACGATTTCTCCGAGGTGGGTATTTTAAGAGAGAAAGGAGCTGAAGCCCAGGAAGGCTGTGCGTCCTGAGTAATAGCTAGTGAGAGACAAAGCCCGTGTTTGAGCCAAGGCCAGTTCATGCCCTTTGTTTCTGCTTCTTCCTAGATTGCAGAGGCTACTCTCCTCATGGCCAGCTACATGAGCCACTGCTCCATAACTGTGACCACTCCCACCAAGCCCCCTGCTGCCCAGCCGTGGGAGCTGGCTGGGCAACAGCTCTTCGCTTCTCTTCCGCGAGCTGCCAAGGGGCCGACGCTGCTATGAATGTTCCTCCTGCCCCGTTCCTGGCGCCTCTGGGGTTGGAGATACAATCCTGGGGCATGACACTACTGTGATGGGTCCAACACCCTCCCCAGCCTGCCTGGTTGGTTCTGTGAAGTGTGTATTTCAGGGTTCATGAAGCCTCTATTCTCTAGGTGCCTTATGTCTCAGGGCCCAACTTTTAAGCCAGGCCCAGTATAAAAACCACTGTTTTTCCCCCCACAAGAGTACTGAGCTCTGGATTCTGCCTGCTTCAAGACAGACAGGGAGCTGACTTGTGTCAGTGCCATAGGTCAGAGCTTTCCCCGCCCCCGGGGAGGCGAATCTGTTTTATACTGTGTACGGTTCTCATGTGGGTTTTTATACTTGAAGTTTTCCCAACATCCTCAGATTCTGAGGACCAAAATTTCCCATTCACCCCAACTCTGACAAAAGTCTAGAACTCACTAGAACTAGACTTCCTTCCGCAGATGGGAAGGGGGTCGGTGGGGCTGGAGGAAAAGGAGCAGAGGTCTGTCCCTCTACTGCCAGAGTAGGCGCTCTGCAGTGCCCCTTCCCTCCGGCAGCAGCTCCTGTCTCTGTGGGACAGGAGCTCTCCCTGCTGAGGTCAAAGCTGCTCTCCCTCACACTGGACTAAGCCCACCGGGGCACAAGCTAAGGCAGGGCAGATCTAACTTGGCCTCCCCGTGTCTCCTTTAACCACTGGACGGGGCTCCGTGAAGGCTGTGCTCACTGCTGTAGGACAAGGTGGCCATCACTGTTTCCCTGCTTTTTGCTACTGTGGGAGCCACCAAAATGAGTCACAAACAGGAGACCCCTTCGGGCTTGTAAGCCTGGACCTGCTCCTCAAGACGTCTGGCGAACCTCTGCTGGGAATAAGTTTGAGGACAGAGGACATGTGATGTCTGTCCCAGAAACTGAATGTAGCTTTCACCTTTGCCTTCCTATGATGCCAGTATCCGCCTACCCACTGAGACCTTCTGTTGAGTGCAGAGGAGATGATCATTGTTTCCACCCTCCCCTAACAAAGAAAGACGAAGGAGTTCATTGGTACTCTGATTTTCCAACATCAGAAACAGAGTTTTATTTCATAGCTCTAAGACAGTCTTACTATCATATTTGTCAATAAAGTGCTGAAAACTGTATGGTCTTAACAGGAGCACCCAAGAATGAAGCATTTTACCCTGGCAAAGTGTGTATGTGTGAGAGTGTGTGTGTGTGTGTGTGTGTGTGTGTGTGTACATGAGAATGTGTGTGTGTACATGTGAGAATGTGTGTGTGTTGCACACTGCAGAACCACTCGGCTGGAACTAGTTTATGTGAGCACTTCAGCTGCTACACGCTTCCCCTCATTCTTTATACCAGGGGTGGGGAACCTTTTCTCTGCCAACGGCCACTTGGATATTTATTACATCATCTCGGCTCATACAAAGTTATCAACTTAAAAATTGCCTGGTGTGTTTGGTCAAATATTCCTGTTCCTGCCTTTTGCCCAGCATATGGGTTTAGTTGGGACATTCCTACCTGGAACACATCAACACATCACACATACCACAGGCTTCTGAAGAAACCCTCCAGGGCTGGTGTGAAAGGCAGAAATGACAACTCTGGTTTTGTGATACTTGAGTGTCTTGAAGGCCCATGAGGATAGCATTATCTACCTGGGAGTTTTTAAAAAATTAGGATCTGCCCTGGCTTGTGTTGCTAAATGGTTAGAGTGGCAGCCCATACACCAAAGGGTTCAATTCCAGGTCAAGGGCATATAGCTGGGTTACAGGTTTGATCCTTGGCCCCAGTTGGGGCATGTGCAAGAGGCAACCAATTAGTGTGTCCCTTTTACATCGACGTTTTTCTCTCATTCTCTTTCTCCCTCCCCCCCCTTCCACTCGCTCTAAAAATCAATGGAAAAAATATCCTTAGGTGACAATTAACAACAACAACAAAAAAAATTAGGATCCCCCCAAAAAAGTAAGGGAGAATGGAGTTGTGTTCATATTGAACTTAGGGGCCAAGTTATTCCCCCCCCCATCTTCCCAATCCTTCAGGAATCCTCCTTTAGTTTATGAATTTTATACAGAAGAAACTGTTCCACCAACAAAGGCTTCCATACTTTGCATGTTTATCCTTCTTTAACATGTTCCTGGAAACCAAAGTCGAATTTCTGTCTAGACTCTTGTCTCATTTCTCCTAGCAAAGGAAGTTTTTGAGCAACAGAAGAGTATTAATGTGCTTCACACCCTGACTGAAATGCCACATTCATGTTTGTCAGTCAAAAGCAGATGTCTGTGAACTAGGCAATTACTGTGCATGTTTATGAAGGAGACCTGTTTATTAAGAGTCATATTTAACCCTATACAGACAAAGGAGATAGGGGGACAGAGTCTAGTCTTTTGTAAGACATTTCTTCCCACTAACCCAGTGCCTGAAGGGCTGGACTATTTTATATATCTGGAAATTATCTTTCTCAAGAGATCTGACATCAGTTTCCCAATGTCTTGCTCCACAAATTTCAACAAAAAGTAAACTTGAATGTGTTTAGAAAATTCGCAAAGTGCTCTGTCAACATGACCTTTGACATACTGTTTCTTAAGGTCTCCTCTCAGTTGGTAATGTACACATACCTTAGGAGGGGAGCACTGAAATACCAGGAACACTTTGCTCAACATCACACCTTGAGCTGAGTTCCAGTCACCTGCTCTGGCTCAGATCCACCACATCATCCTGGTTCCTAGTTCCATGTCCACATGATGTTTGAATACAGTAGAAAACACCAGCCCAAGGACTTAGGAGTCACTTCCCACGGAGACAGTACTGGCCTTCTGAATGCTGGAGCTCATGGGCTTGTGGGTGTGGCTTTCCCGTGTGCCAGGATCTCCTGGCAGCTCCTGTACACTTCAATCAAGCAGTCCAGCCGGGGCTTGGCACTCTGAAGACCAAAGGGAAGAAAGGCATAGTCAAGGTGAACAAGGGGGAGCTTAGGAGTCCTGCATCCATGTGCAACTTCAATCTCTCACCCACACCAAGGGGTCTGCAGGCACAGGTGGGAGCTCAGAAGGGCAGAGTTCAGCCTCACAGCCCCTTGCTGAAGAGTCTCTTATGAAGCCCTCAGCCCCGCCTGTGAATTCTCAAAAGCTGGTTCTCAAACGACAGTTTGTAAACTATAAAATTTCATGATCTCTATCTACGAGCAAGAAAGAGGATTAACAAGGAGACCCTCCTGGGAAGTGTCACCAGCTGTGGAACAGTCCTCAGAGAAAAGAAGGGCAGCGTAACTTACATTGACAAATACTGTGTATAATGAGATGTATAATAATACAACTGAATTAAAAGAAAGTCACAGAATGGGAAAAAGATGAGGATGGCATATTTCATAAATAAAAGTTTGCTAACCAAATATGTAAATTGTCACAATTACATAGTCAGTATCTAGATCCTACTTGACTAAGAGAGGAGGTACGGATAGTTTAAAAGAAGAAGAAATAGTAATAGGTAGATACAAAGAAATATGAAAAGTCCCTGTCTTTAAAGAGGTACAAATTTAAACATTTTAATTTCTTTACTGACATACTAAACTAAAAAAGCTATACCCATTGTTAGCCAAGACTAGAAAAGCGCAAATCCCCCCAAAGCAGACTCAGTCAACAGAGCGGCAAACCGCCGCTCACAAGCCGCAGTTTGCCAACCACTGCCCCAAAGTATATGAAGTTGTCCAATCTCTGGAGCCAAATCTCAGATACTGTAAAAGTCTATGAAGGGCCCTAACCGGTTTGACTCAGTGGATAGAACATTGGCCTGCGGACTCTAGGGTCCCAGGTTTGATCAAGGGCATGTACCTTGGTTGTGAGCACATACCCAGTAGAGAGAGTGCAGGAGGCAGCTGATGGATGTTTCTCATCGATGTTTCTAACTCTCTGTCCCTCTTCCTTCCTTCTCTGTAAAAAATCAATAAAATATATATTTTTTTAAAATCCATGAAGCTACCATAAATTTTAATAAATTAATTTTGAACTATAATGCAAAAGAATTTTAGGTTAGCTGCCTTAAATCCTTTGAGAAACAGGGCAGTGAGGCAGTTAACTGTATATGTGAATTACACATTTATAAAGGGATTTATTACAATTATGTTTATATAAGTGGTTTTTTATAAGAGAAGAGCAAAAAATACCCTGGATGTGATTTCAAAAGTTAGCAATAGAGTGGCTAAATAAACTGATACTTAACATGATAGTATAATTATTTAATAAGTACAGTGGCCTTTTGTAGATGCATGAAAATATGCATGTCAAATTTAAAAAGCAAGGTGCAAAACAGTGTATAACAGTATGTGTAGATCAGTAACATCTACATAAAATCGTATTGGTAGACTGACAGAGCCCAAGGAGATGAATAGTGATTTACAGGCAGAAGTTGCTATCTATTTTTCCTAAAATATGTGTAAATTCGTAATATTTCTGAAAGCCTATATTTGCCTCAAAAAGGAGCTCTTAAAAGAACTAAAATCCCAATTCTCACTAAAAATAGCCGTCAGGTATTCTCAGATGTTCCTGACAACAAAAGTTTACATTGCTACTGTACAGAAGTAGCTGTGGACACGCAGAGGGGTGGGGGGAAGGTAGAGGATTTCTTTGGAGAAGAAAGTAAGCCAAGTGTTCTGTGCTCACCTGGAAGACCGGTACTACTTGGGATATCCCATTTGGTTCCATCGGATCGTTCAATAAAATGCAGAGATAGTAAATCACCTTCTGCTGTAAGAAAACATACCAAATAGAGATCTTAGTGAAACTCATTTTGTTTTCTTTTTCTTCAAGGGACGGCTAAAACTTTTTCATAAATGATTATCTCTAAGTAGAACACTTCATAGTTTTTGAAGTGAGGGATAAGTACATTCTCATGCAACAATCACCACCAGAGATTATTCTGAAGCTGAGCCGAAAATAAAATTGAAACGCTGACTCCCTATCCATGAGAACCTGTTGTGTCTCTTTAAAAGGGGACACACTGGTCAGGTAGCTCCACTGGGTAGGGCATCATCCCCATATGTCCAGGTTGTGATTCAATCCCTGGTCAGGGCGCATACAAGAATCTACGAATGAAGGCATACATAAGTGGAAAAACAACAAATATCTCTTTCTCTCCCTCCCTCTTTCTTCTCTAAAAATAAATAATATAAAAGGTCTTTCTCTCCCTCCCTCTTTCTTCTCTAAAAATAAATAATATAAAAGGACATATCTTTTTTTTCAATATAAGTTACTTTTATGTTTTTAGACATGCCAGCCCAAAAAGAAAACACTGCAAGTAGTGGATCAGAGTCCTAAATTTTAATTTCTTGACATCTAATACTTTAGGTACTAAAACAGTTCAAATCCAGGCACTCGATGGGCTACGCCTCCAAAGAGACATGTGGTACCATTTACATACTTACCATATAAATAGCCTCATTAATGATGACATCCTTCACCTTGCCCATCTCAATGAAGGTGGTGCTTTCTTTGCCAGAGGCATAGGATGAAGTCATCTGGATGCCCAGGGAATCAATGATTAACAGAGTCTCCTGATCAATCTTCACAAAGTGGAGATAACCAAGCAGGCCTATGAGGGTGATGAAGATGGCAGCGGAGAGGATCATGCTGTTCTGAAGAGAGAGCCAGACAACGGCAGTAAGATTACCAGATGGTCTTCTGCATACGCCACTGTTTAGTGAGTCAACTCTAGGCCATGCAGGAAAAGCTTTGTTCTGCTGGGAGTTGAACAGGTAAGGGGAACGTGCATGGAGGAAGAGGAAATCACTTTCACTTGTTCTCTGTAGAGCTATGAAAGCATATGATGAAATACATCCAGACAACAAACGGGTACATCTGTGGAAGAGAACCTCTATCAGCAAAATACCCACCATCAGAGATTTTTCTTCCAAAATTGCAATTTAAGGACTCGGACCTTTTCCTCGCACTCTCCCTCAGAATAATATGTAGTGCAAAATCACAGATTGAACAATAATAAAATGCTTAGCACAGTGTAATAGATACAACCCAACCACTCCTCCTTCCTAATAGAACTTGGAGTGAATCATGATTGGTTCCCACTTCCGGCTAGTTTAGAAATGGACACATGACACAACTCTGACCAATAAGATGTGAGGGAAGATCTGGAGGGGTTTCTGGAAAACCAAGTCCATCTTAAAAAAAGATCTAAGGAAGATTAGGTCCCTACATCCTGAGGGGTATTTTTTTTTGTTTGTTTTTAATTTGTTTTTATTTATTTCAGAAAGAGAAAGGAAAATGGAGAGAGAGATTGAAACGTCAATGATTAGAGAGAATCATCGATTGGCTGCCTTTTGCACAACCTCTACTGGGAATCAAGCCTAAAAGCACACATGTGCCCTGATTGGGAATCCAACTGTGACCTCCTGTTCATAGGTCAATACTCAACCACTGAGCCACACTGGCCAGGCAATCCTGACGTTTTGATATCTGCAACTACTACGGACTCTGCCAGACCATGTGGAAAGCTAGGCTGAAGACAAGTAGAATACACCAAGATGGAAAAAAGAAAAACAATCTACCGAGCCTTTTATGCCCTCTAGAGCCCTCCTACCTCCTGACATCTTGTTTTGTTAAATAACAGATATTCTCATTTAGATTTTAGTTGTTTTGGATTGTGACTAGCTGATGTAAGGCTGACTGATGAGCTGATATGACTACCTGATGTGTTAAGAGCTCAAGATGGTATTTATTCCTTTGATTCTAAGACACATTTACAACTTTTCATCATTTCTGATGTTGAAATGTGTTTTTCTATTAATGTGTGTTTCTTTCATGAGGCATTGTTTTCTTTTTTCGATAAAGCTATTATATAGAAGGATGGCACCAGAAAAAAAAATCACTGACCTGGAATCAAAAGAAATTCAGTCATGTGTGACTGTCAGTCCTTGAGGGCAGGGAGAGTCTTATTATTCTTTGTCACTGATAAGGTGCACTCGTTTTTTTTTTTTTTAATTTATTTTTTACAGAGAGGAAAGGAGAGAGATAAAGAGCTAAAAACGTCGATGAGAGAGAAACATCGACCAGCTACCTCTTGCACATCCCCTACCGAGGATGTGCCTGCAACCAAGGTACATGCCCTTGACCGGAATCGAACCCGGGACCTTTCAGTCCGCAGACCAACGCTCTACCACTGAGCCAAATCGGTTTTGGCAAGGTGCACTCCTTGACCTAACTCTAGTCAAACTCTTCTAAGCCCCTGACCCTGCTGTCCATCATTGTTGGGCCTGCACTGCCCAGTTGTAGCAAGAATCTTGCAAAGTCAGTTTAGAGAGAACTCCCACCTGGCTGGTCTTCAACAAGAATCCTGGCGAGTCCGTTTAGCTCCTGATGTTTCCTTTTAGTAATTTCCCATCCACTGACCCCCCCCCTGCTCCTCAACTATATCTTCCCACTTGTCTATGCTGTATTCAGAACTGAGTCTAATTCTATACTGAGGTCTTTTTTCTCCCATCACAATGGTTTCTGAATAAGATATGTTTTTACCTATTAACCAGTTCTGATTTTCTTTGAAAGTACCCTCCTTTAAATTTTTTAAATTTATTTTTAGAGAGATACAGAGGGAAGGAGGGAGGAAAGAAAAGAGAGAAAGAAAATCTTCGATTTGATGTTCTACTGGTCATTTAATAAGTATCTGTTCCCTCCTCACATGACCAGTGCACGAAATTCGTGCACAGGGTGGGGGGAGTCAGCCTCAGCCTAGCCTGCCCCCTTTCCAATCTGGGACCCTTTGGGGGATGTCGGACTGGCGGTTTAGGCCCGATAATCCTGGACCGCTGGCTCCTAATTGCTCACATTCCTGCCTGCCTGCCTGGTCACCCCTCACTGCCCCCTGTTGCTGGCCTGGTTGCCCCTAACTGCACCCCCCTGCTGGCCTGGTCACCCCCAACTGCCCCCCTGCTGGCCTAGTCACCCCTCACTGCCCCCCCTGCCAGCCTAATTGCCCCCAACTGCCCCCCTGCTGGCCTGGTCTCCCCTAACTTCCCCCTCCTGCTGGCCTGGTTGCCCCTCACGGCCCCCAAAAGCCTGGCCGCCCCATGCTGCCTGGTGTTCAGTCATTTGGTCGTCCCTCACTAACCCCCCCTGCCAGCCTGGTTATAGGCAGCCATCTTTTGCAATATCAATTTGCATATTACCTCTTTATTATATGGAATTAAATCTTTTTTGGGGGGAGGAGGGGAGGGAGGAGCAGGACTGTCCTGGCAACTTAACTGACTTACGAAGAAACTTTTAGATATAACTTGATACAAATTAGGCAGTCCTAATTATGCACATATCTATGCTTGAGTGGCAAAAAAGGTAATGGATGCACTAAAGGATGCATAGGAGCAACATCCAAATTAAAGAATAGTACTGCTGTGCTTACTCTTGACCAGATCACTCCTGAAATAACATATTCATTTCAGGGTACTACATCTGAAACTGAAAAAGACAATGAGGGTGATTCCTTCTATTTGAGGGCAGTCACAAAACCACTGTCCATGACCCTCATAATACTGTGGAGCTGGCATGGCAGACATTAATTCCATTTTTAGAGATGTGAAAACATCTGAGACAACAGGAATGGTCTGGAAATTCATAATTCTTTATCCCATCTCTGAAATGTCCTGATTCTTTAGAAAGTACTTGAAGTTGGGGAAGCAGTTGGGAGGCGGGGGTATAGACTGCCTTAAAAAGCAGAGATTAGGAAAAACTGTCCATGCGAAGCTCTTAACTAACGTCTGGCCGAAACCGGTTTTGGATAGAGCATCAGCCTGCAGACGGAAGGGTCCCGGGTTCGATTCCGGTCTGAGGGCATGTACCTTGGTTTCGGGCACATCCCCAGTGGGATGTGCAAGAGGCAGCTGATCAATGTTTCTCTCTCATGGACGTTTCTGACTCTCTATCCCTCTCAATTCCTCTCTGTGTAAAATCAATAAAATATATTTTTTTTAAAAATAACGTCTGTATGTGTGTGTGTGTGAGACGCACGCACGCGCACACACACACACACACACACACACACACACACAGATACACACACAGATACCGTGAAGCCAGCAACAGTCTCTGCGCAGCTACAGATAAGGTGCGGGGAGCAGTGATTCCCGAGGAGGGGAAGTGATGGGCGAGGGCGATTAACCCAACAGCTCTGGGGTCCACGGCGCATGGGAGTTGAAGTCTTAGGCTGTCGTGCAAGGACCCGCTGTGCACCGGGTGGAACGCGAGCGCAGCAGCGATCCAAGGGAGGGAGGAAGTTCAGGGCACCAACTCCACTAACCGGGATGGAAAGAGCTGTCCAGCAGCGGGACGGCGTCCCCAGGGCCAGCGAGTTCCCGCCCGCCGGCCCGACGACTGCAGGAGGGTCTGCCGCCGAGGTCCGGGCTCGACCCCACGACCCCTCAGACCCTCCCAACATCCCGGCGGCAGCGAGGGGCGGCCCGGCCTTACCTCGCAGAGGGTGAAGAGGCCGTAGGCCGCCAGCCACACGGAGCAGGTGACGGCGGTGAGCGAGCGCAGCGAGAGCCGCGGGCAGCTGAGGCAGAACTCGCGGCAGGACGGGGAGTAGTAGCGGCGCAGCAGCGCCAGGCGGCCGCCGTAAATGTCCGAGAAGCTCAGCTCGTCCTCCATGGCGGGAGGGCACGCACCCCGCGGGGCCCACCGCCGCGGCCGCCCGCCCGCGTCCTCTCGCGGGCTCCGGCCCACTTCCGGGAGGCGGGGTGGCCACGCCCCCTCACGCTCCGCGCAGCCTCAGTTCCGCACGGCCAGCCGGCGCGGCGGTCTCGTTGGGTCCGTTGTAGGCGCTCCCGCGGGGCTGCGCTCCTAGGATTGTCCACTCCAGAGCCTCCCAGGGGGCCGGCCGCTCCGCGGACAGCTGAAAGCCGCTATTGACGGGCTTTTTGTCTCGATGAATTGGTTTCTGTTTTTAAGGCAAAGCACGCCCCAAGGAGACAGTCCGCAGGTACTCATCCATTCCTATTCATTCATTCATCCATCCATTCATTCATTCAGGAGTGGAGGGTGCTGAGGGGAACAATGTTGTCAAGGTCCCTGCCTTCAGGAAGCGTCCTTCCTGGGGACAGAAACAAAATGGAAATAACTTCAGGGGGCTCTTAGCAGTGATATGACTCGCAGGGATGACATTCAGCAGGGCGGTCAGGAAAGCCGCTCCGCGGACGGACGCTGGAGTGACTCGGGTGTGGAGCAGACTGTTGGGTGGGATCTCTGAAGGAGGAACTTGACCGAAAGAACAGGAAAAGCAAAGCCCCTAAGGCTGAAACAGGGTGTGGGGGCGTTATTGGAGGAATAAAGGTCCAAGAGGCTGACGCCCAGGGAATGCAGTTGGGGATGGGGAGGTATAGGCAAGGGTCAGTCCAAGAGGGTCTTGTAGGGCTTGGTAAGGGTTTGGGATCTCACTGCCCAGGATGTCTCTTTGCCCTAGCCGGTTTGGCTCAGTGGATGGAACATCGACCTGCGGACTGAAGCGTCCTGGGTTCGATTCTGGTCAAGGGCACATGCCCGGGTTGCAGGCTTGATCCCCAGTAGGGGGCATGCAGGAAGCAGCAGATCAATGATTCTCATCATTAATGTTTCTACCTCTCTCCCTCCCTCTCTTCTTCTCTGAAATCAATAAATATATATATATATATTTTAAAAGAATGCTATCTTTAATAACTTGTTTTGAAATAAATGCCCATTTTGAAAATCAAAGCAAACCAGGGCCCTGGACAAGTAGCTCAACTGGTTAGATCATCATCTCAATATGCCCAGGTTGCAGATTCAATCTCTGGTCAGAGCACATAAAAGAAGCAACCAATAAATGCATAAATAAGTGTAACAATAAATCAGCATCTCTCTCTCCCTTCCTCTATCTGAAGTAAAATTAAAAGAAGACCTGCTATTTGAACTTTGGGGTTTTTTTTTAATGAGTTATAAGATATTTTAGACATATAGAATAAATTTAATTTTAAAGAATAATAGTAACATAATTTACTAATCACTCCCCTAATACATAATAATGAGGAATTAGTAATTTACCTCTTACTAAACCATGGAAAGCCATTGGAAGTGACATGCAGGATTAATTTAGAATGGTCAATCTGGTGACTCCCTGTAAGTGCTCAAAAAGTGGTTTTTGCAATAGTCCAGGAGATACTGAGGTAGTCTGTGCCAATACTAACTTCAGAAAACATAGGAAATGGGAGAAATTGGATGTGGTGATGGGCAAGAGAAAGGTACCAAAATAATTCCAAGGATCTGAGCAAGTGTGGCAGTAACAGTGACTGAATCCCTGACCACACAGCTCCCCACCCTGGAGAACTTCTTAAAATTTAGGTTGCTGGTTCCCCATCCCCAGAGTTAAATAAGTAAATAAGCTTGGGGTAGGGCCCAATATTTGCATTTCTGACAAGTATGAAAATGTTGACGCTACTGGTCTGGGACCATACTTTCAACAACAGTGCCTTACAGTAATAGCTGCTTTATTTTGCTAAGGCTACAAAGACATTTTTTTGTTAAACCAGCAGGGGGAGACAGGAATACAATTTATTCTCAAAATACTGCCTGACATTATACAGCTGCTTGGAATTGATAGTGCCATGGAGACCTCTGAAATAATTTGGAAAGCAGCATGTAACTTGGCATCAGGAATGTTTTTCAGGTGTTTACATTAACACCCCTCTCTAAAAATCAATTAAAGAATTATTTTTGGTAGGACGAACGTCCAGAATCATACAAGCTGTGGTGTCATAGTAAGAATTTAGAATCTGGAGTCCCAGACCTCTGCCACTTCCAAGCTATGTGACTTTGGGAAAGTTATTTATCTGATCCTGATTCTTTGCATTTAAAATAGTTCCTATAGTAGTCTCCCTTTATCCCCAGGGACATGTTTCAAGACCCGCTACATACTTGTCACTTAAAGCAGTGGTTGGCAAACTCATTAGTCAACAGAGCCAAATATAAACAGTACAATGATTGAAATTTCTTTTGAGAGCCAAATTTTTTAAACTCAAGCTTCTTCTAATGCCACTTCTTCAAAATACACTCGTCCAGGCCCTGGTATTTTGTGGAAGAGCCACACTCAAGGGGCCAAAAAGCTGCATGTGGCTCTCGAGCCACAGTTAGCTGACCACGGACTTAAAGGAAGCACTCTACAGCTTCTCTTTGGCATATTTGAATTGCCAGCATCATTACTCTGGCACTTGAAGCCACTATTGAGTAAAATAAGGGTAACTCCAACTCAAGCACTGTGATGATGCAATTAGGACCAGTTGATCGGATAGCCGAGACGGCTACTAAATGACTAAGGAGTGGGTATCATACATCTGTGGATATGCTGGACGAAGTGATTCATAGCCCAGACAGGATGGAGCAGGACAGTGGAGATTTCATCAGTAACTCAGAATGACATGCAATTCAATCTTTTTGTACCATGGTTAACTGAAACTTGCGAAAGCAAAACCAAGGATGGGGGGAAGGGCTACCATACTTTATGGAATTGTTAGAGGGTTAAAAGTTCTAAGAAACTTTGTTGGGTTTTGCCCTAACAATAGTTTGGCTCAGTGGATGGCGCCTCAGCCCGAGGGCTAAAGAGTCCCAGGTTCACCGAAATCAGTTTGGCTCAGTGGATAGAGTGTAGGCTTGCAGACTGAAAGGTCCCAGGTTCAATTCTGGTCAAGGGCATGTACCTTGGTTGTGGGCACATCCCCACTGGGGGATGTGCAGGAGGCAGCTGATTGATGATTCTCTCTCATTGATGTTTCTAACTCTCTGTCCCTCTCTCTTTCTCTCTGTATAAAATCAATAAAATACTTTTTTAAAAAATCAATACAATATATTATAAAAAAAAAAAAAAAAAGAGTCCCGGGTTCGATTCCAGTCAAGGGCATGTATCTTAGTTGCAGGCTTGATCTATGTTTCTCTCTCATTTATGTTTCTAACTATCCCTCTCCCTTCCTCTGTAAAATATCAATAAAAATATATTTAAAGAAAAAGAAAGAAACTGTTGGTTACTATTATTAAAATACTAGAGAGCCAGTGCACGAAATTCGTACATGGGGAGGGGAGAGTTCTTTCAGCCCAACCTGTACTCTTTCCAATCTGGGAACCCTTGGAGGATTGGGCCTAAACCGGCAGTCGGACATCCCTCTCACAGTGCTGGACTGCTGGCTCCTAATCACTCACCTGCCTGCCTGATTGCTCCTAACTGCCTGCCAAGTCACCTCCAACTGCTCCCTCTACCAGCTGGTCCCCCAATGCAATCTGCTATTCAGTCGTTTGGTTGTCCCTCACTAACCTCCTTCCTGGCCTGGTCATAGGCAGCCATCTTGTGAAGGTGTGAGGTTCAATTTGCATATTACCTCTTTATTATATAGGACTAGAGGCCCAATGCACAAAATTCATGCAAAAGTAGGCCTTCCTTCCCCTGGCTGCAGGCACTGGCTTCCCTCTGGCACCCAGACCCAGGCTTCCCTTGCAGCCCCAGCTTCTTCCAGAAGGACCTCTGATCTAATTAGCATATTATACTTTTATCATTATAGACTAGAAGCTTGGTGCACAAATTTGTGCACCAGTGGGGTGCTCTCCAATATCCCCTGACGGGTCCCAGATTGCAAGAGGGCACAGATCAGACCAAGAGACCCCACCGGTGCAGGATCAGAGTGGGGAGGGACTTGGGAGTTTGGCCAGCCAGGGAGGGACTTGGGAGGGCTCCAGGGCATGTCGGGCCCATCTCACTCAGTCCTGATCAGCTGGACCCAGCAACAAGCTCACCTACAGATTGGAGTATCTTCCCCCCTTGGTGGTCATTGCATATCATAGCAACTGGTCGACTGTTTGATTGTCTGCCCCTTGGTGGTCAGTGCACATCATAGCAAGCAGTTGAGTGGCCTTAGCATATCATTAACATATTACACTTTAATTAGTTGAATGGCCTATTGGACTGCCAGACACTTAGCATATTAGGCTTCAATTATATAGGATTACTAATCTAGTTAATTGTTACTTTCAGCTAGCCCAGATACGTTACTATGTTCCGTTTTTAATAACCCAGTGTTCCCATTATTCAGGTAAAGAATTGAAAAACATCTGGAAGGTAATGGTAAATCCTAAACTCCCCACCCAAAACACCCAAACTAGGTGGGATTTTTAAAAATATATATATTTTATTGATTTTCCACAGAGAGGGATGGAGAGCTAGAAATATCGATGAGAGAGACACATACCATACCGGAATCGAACCCGGGACCTTTCAGTCTGCAGACCGAGGCTCTATCCACTGAGCCAAACCGGTTTCGGCTCTAGGTGGGATTTTTATTAATATGCCTGGCGCAGAGTTCTGGTGTAGATTTGATCTTTTAGCCTTCAATTCCCAAAAGTAAGCGCGTTTTGTTGTTGTTGTTGTTGTTTGTTTTTGTTTTTTGGACCTTGAGCTCTGAGATGGACCGGAGCAGGTGGAAGCAGGCTTGGTCTCGGCAGGGTACTTCCTTAGGGTCGGGTGAGACCAATCTCAGCCTAGCCATCCGCTACCCACGAAGGGACACACCTGTTTGTAACCATCTCTTAGTGGCCAGGCCCTGATCCTGGTTTCCCGGTGTCGCCGCTGGGGCTCCCTGGATGGAGAGCCGCTGGGCTCGGCGGAGGGGGGGCGGCAGTGGGCATGGGCGGGGCCTGCGGAAGGTGTGCCGGAGGCCGGTTGGGGGCCCGGCCCGGAGGGGGGCGGGGCCGTGACGTCGGGGCGCCTCGGCTCCGGGAGGGGAGCGCGGCGGCCGCAGCGGCGCTCACTCGGGGCGGCGAGCCGCGCGGAGCAGCCGGTCGCTTGGCAACGTTCCGCGCTGCCCATCCATGTCCGTCCGCGGCAGCCTCTGGCGTCTGCGGGCGCCGGTGCATCTGGTCCTGAAAAGGTCCGTCCACTCCGTGGCCGTGGTCGGAGCGCCGTTCTCCCGGGGGCAGGTGAGCACCGGGACCTGGCGCCGGGCACCGGGATCGCCGCCCGCGGGAGCCGGGGAAGCGGAGGGCGTGGGGGTGGGGGCTCGAGGAACCGGGGAGAGGGTGGCGGGGGGAGACCTATGGTTCCGGCGATTGGGCGCCGGGAGAGCACGTGGGATTTTTTCTTTTTTTCTTTTTTTACTAGAAAATAGGGGAGGCGGGCGAGGATGGAGGGAATCCTGAGTGCGGTTCGGCGGGGGCTTCCGAGCTGAGGGTGATGGAGGAGGAGGAGGGAGGGGAGTCCTTGCAGGGGCGGGAGGAGGAGAAACCGGCTTGAGTCCCGTGTAAAATAGAGAGAGAGGAGGTGAAAGCGAGCGGTTTCTAAGAATCCAGGGTTCGTCCCGGGAGCATTAACGGGAGGAAATTGGCGCCGGCCGGACGGGAGGGGCTGTTGTTCCCTCCTCCGGGAAGACAGACACCCCGGCGGAGAGGCCAGGGACCCGGCCTGCCAGCCACGTCCGCCCGCCACAGATCCTCACCTGGCGCAGCCCGTCCTGCCCCGCTTGCCCTTCACTCACGGGGCTTGGAAGGTTAATGCGGCTCCGGGGATGGTTTTTTTTCCCTCCTGCCCTGCAAGCTGTGAACGAACCAGGCCTCCGGTGGAAACAGTGATAATGTCAGGTTTTTGAGAGGATTCTATTGGGAACTAAGACCAGCCGTCCTCTCTTGGTTTCCCTTTCCAATAAATATTTCAGCGACCCACCGTCCACTGTGGTCCAGACACATTACATTGAAATTCTAGAAATAAGCATTTCACAAGTTTTAAAATCGCAGCTATGGGGAGCATCTGTGATGAGTGAGTCTCAAGCTAGTCCCGCTCTGTCCGGTCCAGGATCCTTTGTCCCGAGGGTTCATGCTGTTAGGCACCTCCCACTTCTTAGTTATCATACCGAGATACGGCACTGCTTGCTCAGCTAACCCTTATTTTATTGTTATAATTATTTTATTAGTAGCTATTGTTGTTAGTCTAGTAGTGTGCCTGATTTATAAGTTAAACTTTATCCTAGGGTCCGGTACTATCTGCGATTTCAGGCATCCACAGGGGTCCCTTGTAATACATTCCTGGCGGATCCACCCCGTATAGTATAAGCAGATGTCTGTGTTTTTGCGAACTACAGTTGTCTTCTTTTCAATCATCTCCCCTCGCGTCTCATTGTGTGTTTTGTGTGACAGAAAAGAAAAGGAGTGGAATATGGCCCTGCTGCTATCAGAGAAGCTGGCTTGATGAAAAGGCTCTCCAACTTGGGTAAGTGGGGGCTCTGAGATGTCTGTGCAGGGAGGCACACACAGTGACCGCAGTGTCAGCTGTGCTCGCACCGGGGAAGTGTCTCTCATGTTCTGTCGGATTCCACCTGCAGTTTAAGATCTCTCAGAGTCTTCAGTGCAATAAAAAGTGTGTGTGGAAGGCAGGGAGGCAGAGCCTGGAACAAGCTGCTAATGACTGCAAAGCGGTGCTCAGAATGCTAGCGCCAACCCTAACTGTGCCGTCAATCTTTCCCCCTGAAATTCTGACTTTCCCAACTCACTCATGAGGTGCTTATGACTCATCAGCCTGGCCAGTTTCCCTCTTTGAATCATTCATTTCTTCCCGAGGATTAATAGCTTTATGTTACTATAAGCAGAGCCTTAGATCTGTATTTTCCAAACTTTTCTGATTATGAAAATCCCTTGTGCTATTTTTTTAAAATTCTGATTCCTACGCAACTCTGTGAAAGAGTCTGGGTTATTGGCCCTGAGATAGGACCCAAACAAGTGCTTTTCACAAACACCCGGGGTACTCAAAAGTAAAGTTGCATTCTTGTAATTAGTGTGGTACCCAAAGTTTACAGGAGCAGAAGTCAGTGGAACCCAGTGATAAAGGCCATTTATGTAAAATAGAGAATCCTTTTTTTTAAGTAACAAGACATCAAATTATCTTTATAGTAGGAAGGTTCTTCCTTAGCCAACCCAAGTGTTTCTAGTGGATGTTAGGAGCCATTTTCTCCATTCACATTAGGGCCATTCATATAGCTTTTCCGGAGCTGAAAGTGCAAAAGGCATGGCAGCAGGAAGCTATAGATCCTGGAGCTAGTAATACAGAATCTAGGTGAGCATGTGCCCTGACCAGGAATCAAATCATGACCTCCTGGTTCATAGGTCAACTCTCAACCACTGAGCCATGCTGGCTGGGCAATAGGGTCTTATTTTTTTTCTTTTAAATATATTTTATTGATTTCAGAGAGAAAGGAAGAGGGAGAGAGAGATGGTAACATCAATGATGAGAGGAAAATCATTGATTGGCTGCCTCCTGCACACCCCACACTGGGGATGGAGCCCTCGACCTGGCACCCTTCAGTCTGCAGGCCAACAGCACTCTTATCCACTGAGCCAAACCGGCTAGGGCAGTGGTTGGCAAACTCATTAGTCAACAGAGCCAAATATCAACAGTACAACAATTGAAATTTCTTTTGAGAGCCGGATTTCTTAAACTTAAATTTCTTCTAACGCCACTTCTTCAAAATAGACTCGCCTAGGCCGTAGTATTTCGTGGAAGAGCCACACTCAGTTTGCCGACCACGGGGCTAGGGCTATAGGGTCTCTTTCTTAATCATTTTATTTACTCTCCAAGTTCACCACCAAAGATGAAAGATAAATCGGTAAGATTTAGTATTAATTGTGTCACACATTACTTAATGGAGGAGGTTTTTATTCCTGCCTATAAATGAGGATACTGTCCCTTGATATCAGCTATCCACATTCTGCCTTTTAAAAAAGCAATCTCTGGCCGGGACCGGTTTGGCTCAGTGGATAGAGCTTCGGCCTGCGGACTGAAGGGTCCCGGTTCGATTCCGGGCAGGGGCGTGTGTACCTTGGTTGCGGGCACATTCCCAGTAGGGGGTGTGCAAGAGGCAGCTGATCGATGATTCTCTCTCATCGATGTTTCTAACTCTCTATCTCTCTCTTCCTCTCTGTGAAAAATCAATAAAATATATTTTAAAAATAAATAAATAAATAAGCAATCTCTGGCAATCACTGTTTTTTAATCTGGATAAACCTGTGCAGCCCATCTGATAAACTGGGTCTGGCATTGCTCGAATTGCCTGCTCATTGCTGGATTCTGCCTCTTGAAAAGAACCTTTTCAGCCTCACACAGGAGACAGCAGTCAGCGGAGGCTGCTGAGCGAGGGGGCGGGGCAGGGGCAGCCTCTCCTCCTCAGCCCTGCAGACCTCCCTCCCTGTCCCAGCTCATGGTATTTTTCCACTCCACCCTGGGGCAGCTGTGCTCCCTTAAATGCCATAATGCTTCCTCTGTAAACGCTCGACGTAAAGTGATGGGGAAGCTTCAATTTATTTGGTTTTCCCTTTCATTAAAAAAAAATATATATATATTTTAGTTTTATCATTTATATTCTTACCTGGTAGCTGATTGGTAGCCCAATTGGTAGCCAGACTGCCGGTTAGCGGTCAGAAATAGAATCTCACTGCATATTAATAAGATTGTGGCACTCAGCAGATTTCCAGCCTGGGGTTGGGCTAATCTCCAGGAACATGTTAAAGTACAGAGACGTTCCAAAGCTCTATTCAGAAATAGTACCAAAAAATTTAAAGTTCTTTGAGCATTTCAAATAAGCAATATGCATAAGTTTCAAGGGCGAGAAGACCCACGGAAAGGTTAACTTCCACAAATCCCTTTGTTGTTTGCCCTCTGCTCTGATGTCTCGGGCTATCAATGTTGCCATGGCAATGGTTAAAACTTCCTGTTTTCTGGAGTGAATGTATTTGGCCCGGTGTGGGGCTCAGTAGGCACACTCAGTGGGTCCTCTCTCAAGTATCCACTTACTTTGACTATATAAACAGACCCTGAGAGGAGGAACCGAAGAGGCCAGGGCTCTGGCAAGGCTCAGGCGGAGTGCCTCTGCTCCTGGTTCTGGTCAGCGCTGCCAGCCGTGGTCATTTGCCCCTTTTTCTTCAAAGTAGAATGAGTGTGTGTGGGGTGGGGGTGGGGGGAGAAAGAGCTGTAAAGGAAGGTTAATAGTTTAAGGTCTCCCTCTTATAGTTACGGTAATTTGATCTCCCTGTGGTACTTAAAAGAGGTGACAGCCTCTGGCACAGTTAACTAATGTGCCACTGTGACCAGGCAAGAGTCCTGAAGTTCAGGAAGTCATCGGGGAGCTATCCCGACCTATTTGGGACATCTATTCCCATTTACTTGTCCAGTTTTGGACATTCGTTCTTTCTGCTCCATGTTAACTATGTTAATTCTTCCAATTCGTGAACAGGAGATACATGTCCATTTCTTCGTGTCTTCTTCCATTGCTTTCAACAGTGTCTTATAGTTTTCAGTGACTAGATCCTTCACTTCCTTTGTTCCTAGTTCACCCTTTTTTGTTGCAGTTGCAAATAGGATTGGTGTTTTGTTTTTTCCATTTTTTTTTCTAATATTTCATTGTTAGTGTATAGGAACCCAAAGATTTTTGTATATTGATTTTGTATCTTGCAATTTTTATTGTTTCTAATAGTCTTTTGGGTGGAGTATTTAGGGTTTTCTCTAATAGAATCATGTCATGTGAAAATAGTGAGTTTTGCCGGGACCGGTTTGGCTCAGTGGATAGAGCGTCGGCCTGCGGACTGAAGGGTCCCGGGTTCGATTCCGGGCAAGGGCATGTACCTTGGCTGCGGGCACATCCCCGGTGCGGGGTGTGCAAGAGGCAGCTGATCGATGATTCTCTCTCATCGATGTTTCTAACTCTCTATCTCTCTCTCTTCCTCTCTGTGAAAAATCAATAAAATATATTAAAAAAAAAAAAAAGAAAAAAAAAAAGAAAATAGTGAGTTTTACTTCTTTATTCCCAATGTGGATACCTTTTATTTCTTTCTCTTGCCTAATTGCTCTGGCTAGGACTTCCCAGTTCTATGTTAAATAACAGTGGCACAAGTGGGCATTCTTATCTTATTCCTGGTCTTTGAGGGAAAGCTTTCAGTTTATATTAGCTGAGGGTTTGTCATATACGGCCTTTATTACGCTCAGGTACTTTCCTTCTATACCATTGTATTGGGTGTTTTAATTATAAGTGGGTGTCATATCTTGGCAAATGCTTTTCCTACATCTATTGATGAGACCATATGACTTTCTATCTTTTATTTTGTATTACATTAACTGATTTGCATATCTTGAGTCATCCTTGCATCCCTGGAATGAATCCCACTTAATCATGATGGATTATCTTTTTAATGTGTCGTTGTATTCGATTTACTAGTATTTTGTTGAAGATTTCTATGTTCATCAGATATTGGTCTGTAATTTTCTTTTTGTGTGTGTTATCCTTGCCTGGTTTTGGTATCAGGATAATGTTGGCCTCACAAAATTGGGAAGTATCCCTCTTCTTCAAATTTTTGAAGGAGTGTATGACCAAAAGAACCTAGAAGGTAGAGGAAGTTTCTTTTGCCCCCATGCTTGGCATCTCGGATAGGATACCTCACTAGCTGGGCACTGCTTATGCTTGTGCCTGCAGTAGAAAGATCCGGGGACCTCTAGAATGAGCAGGCACAGGTAAGAATTCTTGCCTAGGCACCCTCCAAGATCTTTGTCTTCAGAGTCCATAATACACTCCTTTAAAATATTTATATTAGAAGGAGAAAATTTAGAGTCATATACCATCTAATTTGTCATATTTACTTTGATTTATATTTTTTTAATTGAGTCCAAAGCTTCCTACTTTAAAATATAATTTGCCCCTCCAAAAAACAATGAAATCTCAGGCTGTGCTAGTTACATCTTTCTAATATATTTTCCTTTTAATGGTTTTACATTTTGTTATTTGTTTTTTGGTCACTAATGGTATGTGTTCCACACTTAACAATCAATAGGATAGGTCCTCCATAATTTGACTTTCATCTACCTCTTAGACTTTTTTCCACCCACATTCCACCTTGTTTTCATTGCAAGTAGGGTTGTGGGCACTGGATGGAGGCTCTACCACCAGAAGCACCTATCCTAAACTTTGATTTGAATTTCAAGAAGAAGGGGCAGCAAATAACTCATTTTGTGTTGGGCAATGATGGCAGTGATTGGTCCGTAGTTTCTGTCCATGCAAGCTGCCTTTCCCAGGTAGAGGAGGCACCAGCAGCATCTTCACTGTACCATCCTGCAATGTGATGGATGGGGCCATTATTTCTGGGCAATGTGGCCTTTAAATCAGATCAGGGCCCTTTAGGGCCCTAATTAAAGATTCTATGAATTACAATAATTAAACAAATTGATTTTTT